CTCACCTCAATGAAATTGACACTATTTTTTCCCACACTTGGAACGAGGGGAACGTGGCTGTCTGGGTGGAACGGTTGCTGCTGGATTTGTCTGATTCCTGGGGCTGGAATCTGATATGCCACCGCCACTTTCCATCAAAGACATGGAAGATCTTTATTTATTTGAATTATAATAACTGGATTCCTACTGATCGGCGGAGGAGGGTTCCCAATTTATTGAAAAGTGAAAGCAACCCTGACAGTGCATTGGGTCTTTGAAGAGCTGTCAGGCGCACTTGAAGGATTCTGCCAGGTGGAAGCAAACAGACTCTCTGCTGGGGGAAAAACTCACAAACTGGATGTGATTATGAGGATCACAGCTCGGGAGCGACCCTTCAGCATGAATGGACTACATCTGGGTGAGCTTCAATCAGTGAGAGGCGAGGAATGACCCCAAATTTGACTGATTGGCTTTTTTTCGCCACCTCAGAGTTTGCAGTAAAGACACTTCAAAAGCAGCAGGAATTTCAAGGCTGCTTTGTTTCCAAAACAGTTGGATTAACTATCTGGCTCCCAGTGGTATGGCCTTGAGGGCAGTGCTTATCTTAACCTCCCCGGGATGAAATGTCAACTAAGAGCTGGATTCACTCCCACCCCCACCACCCGTGTTGGACCCGGCCTTGGAACTCAGTTTGGCTGAGGAGGAGGAAAATCTGAATTCTAGCGAACTGAGTAGAGACAATAACATCATGTGACTCTGGACTCAAGCCTCTGTGATTCAAGCTGTTGTTAAAGGTAGTGCAACTGTGTTTGCTGCATGACCGGTTTCACATGTTCCCCCATGTTTGTTTTGTATGTTTTCTTGAATGGGTGTTTCTTAAATGCCCCCTCCCCCCCCTTCCCTGAATGTACAGCACCTTGTGAATTTATTTCTGTGAAAGGCGCTATATAAATAAAACTTTACTTACTTCCTTTTAGTGTCAAATATCAGTCTCTTTAAGTCATTTTCTGTAGGTTTTAATAAAGTTGATTGTTTTATGATTTGTTGTTTGAAACAATACTTCAGTCTCTGGACACTTGAGTGAGTGGAAAACACTTTAATGCTCTTTTAGTAAGTTATTAAAACAGTCATAAAATCAGACTAAATTCCCTAACAGGAAAAAAGGTTTTGACTCTTAAAGGTTTAGAACCTGGGGGTTTGCTGAATACCATCAGAAGAGACAGTAGGACATGTCTCTGTCAAAATGTCAAAGTGAGAGAGTCGAGCCAACAAACAGCCAAACCAAGAACAAACCAAGACTAGCAAAGGTCTGCTCAGAAAACAGCGAGTCTCAGGAAACTAAAAACAAGAAAAATGAAGTAGAAACAGTAATTTCAAAATACAGTCAAGATGAATAAAGTTCAGGACAATAAACATTTAACCTGATAAACATGTTGACACTTCAGATTCGAACACATGCATCCATCCTCTGATGTTCTCCATGGTCAGGTTGTGGAGGCAACAGTTGGTGTTCCCTCCCCCCAGCAGCTCTCAGTGTTTTCAGGCCAAAGAGGATTCACCCAGGAGAGATTCAGGTGCTTGAACCTCAGACTCCTTTCAATACAGAGGCTTTACTCCAAGCTCCACCTGGATATCAGAGGTCCTTATCTTATCTTCAAGGCTGAGTCTGGTGGAAGCTCATCAGGCTGAGAAAATGTCAGACTATAATACAGTAAAACCAAGAATCCAAAAAGTACAAGGTAGGCCAGATGTAGTTGAGCTGAGAACCAACTGATCTATAAACATGTCAGACTGAGAAATACGGTGGGGTGCAAAGGTTTGGGCAGTCTTGTTAATTTTCCTGAATATCACTTAAATATATCATATAGGGGACAAACACAGTGATATTAGAGAAGTGAAATAAAGTTGATATGATTTACAGAAAGTGTGCAATTGTTTATACAAAATTAGGCAGGTGCATAAATTTGGGCACCATAAAAAACCTTAACTCAATATTTAGTAGCTCCTCCTTTCACAGTAATAACAGCCTCTAAACACTTCCTGCAGCTTCTAATGAGAGTTTGGATTGTGGCTGTAATACTTGCCACAAATGATTATTTTTATAATCGATTAATCACCGATTATTTTTTCGATTAGTCGACTAATCGGATCATGCGTTAATTGAATATAAAACATACAGCTTATCACGCCAGAATGCAGCTGCTATTATATAACCATCGTTAGATTTTAGCTATATGCTAACTAAAAATAATTGCTGTGGAAGGCAAGTTCTGCTCTGCAGATATTGCACAGGTTTCTCTTTCATTTTCTTAAAATAATCTCACACAGAGCTCCCTTGTCAGGTAGCCATGATACCAGAGCCTGTCTGTATAATGTGACGTCCACGGACAACAC